CACCCCCCCCCCCCCCCCCCCCCCCCGTACCTACGGTCGGTCTTGCGCGATACAGGGCAAGGGTCTGGAGCGGTACCTCCCTCCGAGAGACCGCAACGCGGCTCTGAACGCGATGAAGCCGCTGTTGCGCGAGGGCGACTGGGACGGCGCCGTTGTGCTTGCGCTGGAAGAGATTCACGGCCGCCTGGTCGGGAACCTTGCAAAGGCAGCCGGCGGCGGCGGCGACGGCGGCGCAGGGGCTTTGTCCTCTCTTGGATGGGGCTGGGAAGACCTGAAGCGATGGGCGTCGGACGGGTGGGGGGGTAGCGGGGGCGGCAGTGGTAGCGGCGATGGTGGTGGCGGCGGCGGTGGCTTCCGTGGCTTCCATCTCGGTGGCTTCGAGAATTTTTTTCGTGAGAGCTGGAACGTGGACGTCCCCCCTGGCTCTGTGCTGCTGGCGTTGTCGCTGCTGTGGGGAGGGGCTACCGCGCGAGCCTCTCTGCAACGGAGGCGGTACGACAGATTCGAGGCTAAGCTGGCTGGGATCGAGGCTCAAAGGTGCGCGGGCTTGCGCGTGGCCGCAGCAGTCGTCTCCATGTTGTCGTTGTGCTCCGTACAGCTCCCTTGCACTTGGCCGCTAAAGGCACAAACCATAGGAGAAACGACAGTCAATGTGTTTCACGTGGGAGTCTTTTGGTGCTGATAGCTTTTAGCTTCAAGAGGTGACGAAACGGGGGGGCGCTTGTCCTTTTAGAGCCGGCGTGTAAGGCTGCTGCCAAGGGAGTCTCTACCTATCGTCACCAGAGGCGTGGAAAGGTCAGCTACCGCTGCAAATGGCGGGGAAGTTGATGCCGAGAGTTACAGTATTCTTTGGGCGAGGGGCAACAGACCAAGAAACGACGCCGTTTTTTTTCAACTTTTCGTCAGTTTTTCTTGCCATCGTCGTGAACCCTCTCAAGTTTCTTTGAACGCATCGGCGCTTCAGCTTGTTTTTAGCCCGCTCCCTTCCTTTGTCGCACGCGTCCTTGCGCCCGTTGCTTGCCCTACGTCTCAGAGCGATGCTGCCGCTTTCAGCCGCCGGCGGAGGTTGGTTGGTCGGGCAAGACGCGTTGGCGTCGCGGGGAGTGTGCCCGATCTGCCTAGACGCCTTCTCGGAAGCGGCGGATGGTAGCGGAGCCGACACCAAGGGGCTGGTGGGCGCGGACGGGATGCCGGCGGCGACACTGCCTGACTGCGGGCACACATTCTGCCAAAGGCGAGTGGCTCGGCCTCTGATGATGGAGGACCCGCCTTCGCGAGAAATTAAACTGATGAGGAAATAGAACAGGGAGGGGGTACGCAGACCATAAACCCTACCCATAAACCTAACTCAGCTTCCTCAATCGCATGGTTTATCCAACATGCTTACTTCCTAGAAAAAACGTGCGAAGTCTACTGGGTGACGACCCCGCCCCCCCCTGGTCGTCGCCCCCCCCGGTGTTTGCCATCGGGGTCGGGTTTTCGTCGCTTGGCAACGACGTTGTAAAACAAGCCCCCCCCTCGGTGTTTGCCATCGGGATTGGGTTTCCGTCGCTTGGCAATGACGTTGTAAAACAAGCCAATTCACTTCGTGAACTCGGCAACCAGGTTACCGTTTTTTTTTTTACCTCTGTTTTTTTTTTCGGTAACCATAATGGTGGTCGAGTAGATCATGTTGTGCGGGGTGGAGAGCCCTCACTCTGCGCAAGGGGGATGATCGCACCACGTTGTGTTAAAATGGTCAAGCATCCTCGAGGCAGTTACACAGTGCTTGATAGTGTCTCTGGAAGTGAAAGCACCAGAAAATAAATTAAGTCATACGCAGCTGTCATCCGTACGCAAGGAAGTAAGCACAAGAAGCCGAACACCCTTAGCAGGATGCAGCTCACCCTTCATGCGACTCGCCAAATACCTCACGGCGCTTCGCGCTTGGTGATGTGAGAGCCTGGTCCGGTGAGAACCCGGCGTGCTCCGTCCCGGCTTTGTAGGGATGCGAGGTCAATGGTCTAACGACTACGGCATGCACGACTATGAGTACACCCCCCTGGTCGTCGTATAAAAGCATGAACAACAGAATCTAGCACACTTGAACCCGTGGGTTTCGGGGAGGGGATTCCCTCGCCACTGACCGTCTTTATGCGTCTGATTTTTAGGTTTGGTCATCACGCTACCTATTTTTGAAGACTTTGAATAAGGACGTCCCGTGTGTCATCAAGGTGCCCTAATGTAGGAGGTCCACGAACCCTCCCCGATTGGTGGCGACCGCCCTCACCAGACCGCCCCCCTTTCTCACGACCCCCCCCACATCCCACCTTTCCCTGGGTCGGAAAACAGCTGCCTATCCCGATGGAACGGAGACGGAAGCGGCTCGAGCAGTGGCAACCCCCAAGCCTGCCCGTGTCCTATCTGCGATGCCCCCACGCCGGCGGTCGGAGACCCGAGGCTCGGCCGCACGAGTCGACGCCGTCGTGCCTCCCGCCCTGGGCCCCTCCGCCGCCGCCGCCGCCGCCGCCCTCGGCGTGGGGAGGAGGACGTTGGTTTCTTTGGGTTCAGGTGGCCTAGATCGTCTTCTTCTTGGGGGGGGGGGAGGTCCCGTGACGGTCGTGGAGGAGTAAACCTAAGGTTTTCGCCGTGGCCCCGGTCGAGCGGATGGACGCCAGACAAACCTCGAGGACTGCTACCGTCACCGATTGCGACGCCGCCGCCGCCGCCGCCGCTGCCTTCCACGCCGCCGCCACCGCCGCCGCCGCCACCGATAAGGCCTTCAGGGGCGAGCGCAAATCCCGGTGTGTCGAGGACGGGGAGGTTGGGCGAGACCGGCGGTGAGCAGGCAAGGGAACGGGCGCGGCGGGAGGCCGCGTTTCAGCTAGCCTCGCTGGGGTCGCAGTACCCCAAGTTCTTGGACGATCGGACGGTCAACAGGTGTGGCCCCGTCCCGTACTCTTTGCATGTGTGTGTTAGCCTTGCATCCCGTCATAGCGAACTTGTGTCCACTCGTACCTTCAAGCCACTTCAACTTATTTCCGCGAAACCTTGTGTTTTGTTTCTGTTCGTGAGTTTCTCTGTGTGTGCTCTCTCTGGTTCGATGCGCTTGAGATGCCTTGTAAGCAACTCCTCATCGGCTGAAGAAAATAAACTTGAGGAGAATAGCCATACTGGTTAGATGATCCACATCGCTATGTAAGCATGTTTGGTGTGTCGGCGCGTGTACTGCATTATGACGCTCGCGGGCTCTTGTCGAGAGCGTTTCTGCACAAAGGAGTGCCTCAAGTTCCTTGCATGAAAGAGTGAGAGACAAGGCCAAGGCCAGCAGAGCCTAGCGCGTCAAGTCGATCACACCCATCACATGTATCTGCCTAACCCGCGGAGATCTCGGAGATCCGTATCCTGCCGAGTACACACACAAACAACGTACACACATTGTGCGCTCAAATGACTACCTTGCACAGGTGGCTCTCCAAGGACTACTCCTCCAGCTGGAGCAGAGACCCGATGCTTGCGCTGAACCGCCCCCAGGATACCGGCTCTGACAACGGCCGTGTCGGGGGCGGCGGCGCTAGGAAAGGAAGCGGGTGGGTCACCAACGGCTCTAGGGGGCTCGGTGGTGAGGAGAGGCGGTCATACGGAGGCGGCTCTTCGTCCTCCGCTACAGGAGGAGGGTGGTAGAAAACTGTGGGATAATAGAGGTAACGCACTCGGCAGTAGTAGTTGGGTGGACAATTTTTATGGCGATGGCGCCTGCGGCTCAACTGTACTCTTCCGTCTCGATGACAATAAAGTTGTGATAAGAGGTGACGCATACATCAGTAGATGGGTGGACAAATGTAGTGGCCACGGTACCGGCGGCGGCTCATTTGAACTCTTGCGTCTCGACGACATACCGCCGTGTGTCTGCGGCTGTTGTTGTTGCCAATGAGAAGCGTTGGTTAGGCCATGCGGCGGGATTCTTGGTGAGTTGTTACACCGGCCGCGAGGTCAACTGTCGTCGCCCAAGGTGCATTTTCATATTTTTGTAGAGGCAGCTATCAATAGCTTCGTTGCAGCTCTCGTATCAGCAGTGGTGGCATTTATGTTGTTGTCGCACGCCGACGTCTGTACCAGAAACCCGTCAATAGAGGGTGGCAAGCAGCGCTTCGCGAATCCTGCGCGCCGGCTTCGTTTAAGGAAGGGCCTAGCGGTTGTGGCAGGCGGTGGTCTAGCTTTCCGGTCAACTCGGTTTGCCGCGTGTACATATTTCGAAATATATTCCAGTTCCGTGGGATGGGTTGATGGAGGGTCGCTGAAGCAGTGGCGCGAACACGACCACACGGTGTTGTACATACATTAATTTGTCGATACGGAGTACATACGTAAGCAGGTACGTTGCGGATTTTGATGGCAATAGATCATGCCCTAGTTAGTGGCTGCAATCAGGTGTGTGCGTGTAATGTATGATCCGGGAAACTACCTCCTGCGCTTTTGTGTTTTCGTGGCAGTTTCTCTTACAGTAGCGTCTAACTGGCGCTTAGAAATACAATATTTTTTTGCCTTGGAGAGCAGTGTGCGCTTCTGCCGCAGCAAACAACACCAAACACCTTGATGTCGCATACCATACATTTCGAGCGAAGCGAGGGTTCTCTTCTGGCCGGAAGGTCTCAGCGCAATATAGTGCTCCATCAAGAAGAAAAAAGCTTCTGCGCCGCGGCGTGTCTGTTCGCTTTATCTAGGTTTAGAATACATCACTTGATTCTAAAGGGGGGTCAGCAACGCACGTGACCACACAGCAGATTGCAGCTATTGCAGCTGCAGACAACACGCACAGCAGACAACCTTGATGTTGCATACCACATGTTTAGACCGTCGTTGGTGCTGACACAACATGACCCTTGTGGCAAGAAATTCCACCCACTGCTTTGCCACCCAAGCACACACGGGGGGTAAATTATACACCAAACCGTAGCTTTTATGACCTTCGACGCTACCCCCCACCTGTACAATTACTATTAGTCTGGGAATCAACAACACGAAATGGCGTGCCGTACATGAACATCATTTTTTCGACCGTTGAGGTCTTCATTTCATGTCCACACCCGTCTCACCAACCACGTTCGCTTCGGCACGTCTTCATTGCCAAAAACTCACATCACAAGAACTTAAAAAGTTAAGCCACCAAGCCAAAGTCGAGATATACATTCCACCTATGAAACATGCTAACTAACTATATTTTACAACCCAGCTTCTCCCTCCCGCAGCAGTCAGCTTTCACGGCGCGGCGCGGCACGACAGGTTTCAGCATCCCTGCATTCCGCTGGCTCATGGAACCCTCTTCCCTTATCTACACATGCGAGACCACCGACTTGCCCAAACCCAAGCCTGCGCCCACTGTTACCCACACCGGTCGCTGTGCCACATGCGCAACCGCGAGCCCCCCCCGCCATCGCGCTGGTCCCGTACTTTGTTATCCCATTCTCGAAGGCTCCGCCCTGGCCACCGGCAAGGGCCTCGAGCGGGGGGAGGAGAGGTCGACCACCCAACCCTCGGTTACGGCTAGGTTGCGGCAAGAGGCCGCCGCCGCGTGGTCGGCCTTCGAACGCTTCGCCTTCACCACGGGCAAGGGCCTCGATCGCGAGGAGTTCACCCCCGATCCTCCCGTGACGGCCAGGTTGCGGTAAGAGGCCGCCGAGTCGTCGTCGTCGTCCTCCACGTCCACGACGCCGAGCTCCCGCTGCCGCTGCGAGATACGCTCGTCGATCCGCTGCGTCGAGGTCAGCGCCCGGACGCACTCGACCTCGACCTCTTCTGAACCCGCCGTGCCCGCCGTAGGTCCCCGTCGCGGCGCCGGGAGTGAGCGCGAGCCGCTCCGGGCCCCCGAGCCGGGGCGTGAGGCGGCGGCGGCGGCGGCTCCTCTGCGTTCCTTCTGGGGCCTCTCTCTTTCCTCTGTAACAGATCGTGGCCGTTTCCGAGCGGGGTCTTCGGCGCGTGGCGGTGATGAGACGTGCCTGTGCCACCACGCGCATGAAAAATGCAAGCAACGAGCAGCCGAAATTTAACGACACACGGCAGCGATGATACGCAACGCTTAAGGCCGACAGGATCGTTACTTATATGTCCAGAACTTGTGGCGGAGAAGGAAGATCACCTACCACACAGGCTGCAAATGTGCGTTTTTGTATGTGTTCGTTCCATTTTGTTGTTGGCGCCAGTCTACACAACTTTCGGTGTCGTGTGTATATTTGACCCATCAGCCGAGGTCACACAGAAGAAAGGCCACACAGGAGATGCACTTTTTCATCTTTGTAGGGCCCCACCTTTCCTCCTGCGGTGCTTGCTTTAGAATTCATCACGATAAGGACCAGCCAGCCCCCTTTTCGCTCGTCGACCGTCACTTATCCAAGAACAAGGTGGGTAACTCAAGAAATAATCATTTCCGTCCCCAACGGCAAGTTGTTTGTCATTCCGGAGAGAGTATCGATTCGCAACCTGCTGCCGTAGGTTACGAGGCGAACCACTAGACCACGGAGGCGGAAGGTGGCCACAGAAGTGGGTTCCTTTGGGAAACCACGATGACAAGGGTGCGTCCCGTTGCCTACCGGCATTATTTCGGACATGCGGGGGACGAAAACTGGGTGTTACGCGGGTTTCCGGAGAGCTTTGATTGAGGCGCTCTTATGACCGCACTTTCTAACTCTACATGTGGGCTGGGGTACCGGTGTTCCACCTTCGCAGCTACTGCCCGACTACCCTTACCCGTTGTAAACCGAAACGACGTTGTTCAGCACGGCAACGACAGAGGGGTGTGTTAGATATACTCGCAGCAGTATCTGGTCGTGAGGATCCCAGGGGGATACGTGTTGGGAATTTCGTGTGTTGCAGGGTACCATCGGTGCGGTCACGGGGACCCTTTTGGCGTGGTTGGTGCGATGAAGCTTGCGTGCGTGCTGCGCTCACTTCTTCCTCTCTCTCTCCACCACCACCACCGTCTCTCTCCAATCAAGTTTCCTTCTCCCACTCTCTCTCCAACTCTCTCTCAATCTCTCTCTCTCGGCCTAACACGGCCGACTACCCAGTGCCCCAAGTAACGTCCAGAACGTGCTTGCTGCACCCCGCGTAGTTTACCTTTCACACTAGTGCGATATCACGGTATCTGCGCGCGGGCGTAGCCATCCGGGGGTTGTGCAGTCACGCGCAATCGGTAGACTCCCACAACACCAAACACCATGGAGGACATCGACCTCTCCGCCCTCAGCGGGGAAGAGCTACAACAAAAAGTGGAGGAGATCGTCCAGCAACGAGTGCAAGCCGAACTCGAAGCCAACAGGATCAACGAGGGTGAAGTCACCATTGCCCAACCACCAGCCGGCAACCCAGCCACTCCAACCGGCAACCCAGTCCCACCTACTGGCAACCAACCATCACCCTCCAGCCAGGGTACACCAGCCACATTCAACGACCCCAGCAGCGTCGCACACATCGTGGCGCAAGCGGCCAAGGCGACAGCTGAGGCCATCGCTCAACAACAGGGCTTTGCCCACTCAGGCACGTTACGTGTCAATCCAGGCTCAGAAATCGAACCTTGGCTTGGTAGTGTAAAGAAGGAGCAGGACTTATACATTATGTTTGATATTTTTCGTGGTAAGATGATTTCATATTTTCAGGAGGAGGGTGTGCATGATGCGTTGGAACTGGAGGTCGAGGTCAAGGTCGGGAAGAGGGGTGTGAATGTAGGAGACCTTCGGAGACTTTTTGGAAATGAAGTGGTAGACAAGTCTTTCAAACTGTGGAATATCCTCATAAGCAAGGTTATGTATCCCCCGATTCAGAGCTTGATTCTGGCGTGTGAGAGTCCCCAAAAGGGCTGGAAAATAGTGACCGAGTTCTATCAGGAGAAAAAGCAGTCAGAAAAGTCGAGGTTGGAGCAGGACTGGAAGGAGTTGGAGATGAAAGAGTCCGAGAGTCCACAGGATTACATTGCCCGCTCAGAGGCCCTTCGCCTGCGTCTCGCATCTGTAGGCACGATTAATGATGAAACAGATGCCAACAAAGACATTGCTCGTGGCCTTCCCTCTTCGTTGTATGCCGTGCAAAAAGGAATACTGCTTGCCCATGATGTCCTGACGTTGCGTACCCTTGAGACTGTGGTGAGGGACGCCCACGTGGAGATGGAGCGCGAGAGGAGCAAGGGGGAGAGGCGCGAGGTGGAGCTCGCTCTCGCCGCATCCGGCATGAGCCGGCGCGGCGGGGGCAGTGGGGGGGCATCCTGGGGTCAAGACGGCGGTCAGGCAGCAGCTGGCGGCCAAAATCGTGACGGAGAGAAGAAAAATAGTGACGTGTTCAACGGCGACCCCGGCGGATTTTGCCGCTACCACCAGTCCGAGCTTCACACCAACGAGCAGTGTCGTCTCCAGCAGCAACTGCGGCGTGCGCGTTCGAGAGAGGGCGCCGAGGAACGTCGCTCGGGCGGCGGCAGCCGCGGTGGCGGCGGTAGCCAGCGAGGGGGTAGACCGCCGCCGGGACCCGGCCGCGGTGGCGGGCGATGGGTGAGGATAGAGCAGCAGCACCACACCGGTCATGGTGGCGGTGGCTGGAGCCAAGCCTCACCCCCCCCGCGACCTCTTCGTGGACGTGGGCCTGGTGGTCGTCTGGGGCGTCACCCGGGGGGTCGTGGGCCCGCGGGACGCCACAGCAGCGACGGGCGTGCCGAGAGAGATCGGGCAGGGAGAGGCCCGGGGCACGCGCGTTCTGGCCACGGAAGAGAGCAGGCGTACGTTGTGTACTACGCCCACGATGATGGTGGCTACTACGAAGATTACGGCGACTACGACGAAGGCTACTCCTACGACGACGGCTACCACGACGCCGGGTACGCCCACTACGCCGGCGGCGGGGACAGCTACAGCTACTCCTCCGGGTACGAAGACAGCCGTTCATCTGACGGCGGGATCCACTACGTCTACTACCCTCCCGCCGGTCAAGATTCATCATCCGAGCAGCCACGTCAGCCCCCCCCCGCGGGCAGCAGCAGCACCGCTTCCTCCTCGTCCTCTGCCCCTTCTCCTGGCGCGCCTCCATCTTCGGGCTACCTCCACCTCTGCACGGCACAATCGGTGCCCCTAGGCAAGTCTCACCCCGAAGATTTTTTTGGTAGGATAGGAGTGACGATTGGAGTTGAGTCTGCTGCGTCTGCTTCGTCTTTGCTGAGTGTGGAATCTAGTGAGGGGCCGCCTGGTAGCGAGAGATGGGTAGCTGATTCAGGTGCAAGCAACAGTTTTACCAACAGTAGTCTACACATGTACGATCTGCAGGAGATCTCCGCAAATAGGAAGTATGTCGTCGTAGGTGATGGTCGACTGCTAGAAGTGCAAGCTATCGGTAGCATCAACCTTAGTTTCTTTCAGGAGGATGAGAACGGTGAAAAAACGACGATGTGTGTTAAGCTGACTGACGTGTCTGTAGTAGAGAACCTGAGCTTCAATTTGTTTTCAACGCATGCAGTTTCTCGAAAGCAACAAATCCTGCACGACGAGCATGGTGCAACCCTCCAAAATGGACTGCTATTTGCTAGGGAGGAAAAAGCGTCTGCAGCATATGCCATGCGCTTACCATACGACCCATCTGCAACTATAGTAGACTCTTCTGCTTTGCCTGCATTCGTGACTGCCCCCGATTCCGCCCCCGCCGTTGGCTCCACGCGTTCCCCTTCCCAAAAAGGGGGCTCCGCGGAATCATTGGTGTCCGTGTTGCGTTTCCCTCCCGCTGGCTCTGCTAGCGTAGTACCTTCGAGTGAGAGTGTCACGCCCGCTGGTCCCCACCAGCGTAGTACCTTCGACTGATAGCGTCACGCCCAACTGGTCCCACCAGTGTAGTACCTGCGAGTGAGAGCGTCCCGCCCGCCGGCTCTGCCGGCGTAGTACCTTCTTCGGCGTCCGAGTTTGTTTGTGTGGGTACTTTTCCGGGTATGGATCTTGGAGACACGAGTGTGCTCACCGACGAGCAGCTCATGGATGGCTATGATGACACCCCGTATCAAGAGTTTTTCCCCGCGTTTATCCCTGAGACTGATGCTGCGAATGTAGCTGCTGTTTTGGATAGCATTGATGGGGGTGCTGATTTTGACTTCGGTGCGGCCGCGCTTGGCCCTGGTGCGTCCCCGTTTGCTCTTGGTTCGACTGAAAAGTCCGTTGACATCAACCGCTTCCACCGCTCCCTTGCCCACGCTTGCGAGCCCCTTTTGAGAGAAACCGCCCAGCAGAGGAGGCATCGTGCTCACCGGCAAGCTGGAACCGTGCACGGACTGCATGAAGGCGAAGGGCAGGCGAGGGTCGGTGCCGCGGGGGCCGGGAGCGCGGGCGTCCAAGCCACTCGGGCGTGTTCACCTGGACTTGTGTGGACCGCTGGTGCCTTCCCTGGGCGGCAACCTCTACCTGTTCGTCGCCGTCGACAGCGCCTCGCGGTGGAACAAGGTCTACGGTCTCCGGCGGAAGTCCGACGCGCTGGCGGCAACGAAAAGGCTGCTGGCGGACGTGGGGCGGTACGACCTCGGGCGCATCGAGTGTTTCCGCGTCGACAACGGCACCGAGTGGACCCGTGGCGACTTCCGGCAATTCTGCGACGACAACGGCATCGGCGTCGAGTTCACCCCGCCTGGCACTCCGAAGTACAACGGCGTCGTCGAGAGCGCCATCTGGCGGATTATGAAGGCCGGCATGGCCGCCCGCCGCAGCGCTGGCCGTGTGTTCAACGTCGACTTCGCCTCCATCCCCGGCCTCGACGAGCGCGGTGACCGTCTTTGGATGGAATCGGCGAAGTGGGCCGCCGACGCTCTTAACCAGTCGGCGACCAAGGCCAACCCCGGGCGGCGCTCGCCGCACGAGATGTTCACCGGCGAGCAAGGGCCGTTCCGCGTGCTGCCGTTCTTCCAGCCCGGCTTCATGCGCGAGGATCGCCGCACCAAGCTCGACGACCAGGCCACCCTCTGCTTCTACCTGAACGGCGGCGACAACCACCCGAGCGGCACCGTCAAGGTCCTCAAGGCGTCCACCGGTCGCGTCGTCTACACCAACAACGTGTCGTGGGTGACGTCGGCGCCAGCCGGCGAGGGGGGTTCCGCTGGTATCACCGCTGCACCGACACCCCCCCCGTTCACGCCGCCGGTCGTCTCGATCAACTTTGGCCCAGCACCGACGCCTTCGACTGCCGCAACGCCACCTGCCGCAACGCCGCCGCCAGCGACCACGCCGCCGTCCGCTCCCACGCCTTCACAGCCGCCCTCTGCCACTTCGCCGCCACCGTCGGCGACCCCCGCCCCTGGCCAGCCGTCTTCTGCCTCTTCGCCGTCACCGTTGGCGACCCTCGATCCAGACCAGCCGCCGCCGCCGGACCCCGCGATGCCCCCGCTTACGGCTCACGCCATGCGGCAGCTTCGCCCGGGTACAAAGGCCGAGGGTATGATAGACCCGCGGCTGCCAAGCCGAACGAGATCGGGCACGAGGCACAGCACAGGACTCATCTCGATGCTAGACAAGAACACTCTGGTGTCGATGCTGGAGGCTCGGAGCGCGGTGGATGAGGAGCGCAGGGAGCTGGAGGGGGCGGAGGCCGGAGAGCCGGGGGGAGCGGGGGCCGGAGAACAGGCGGGAGCACTCGCAGCGGGTGGACCCGGGGGCTGGAGGAGCGGGCTTTCCACTCGCATTTGCCACGCTCCTCGCCAACCGGGAAGACATCGACGCCACGCTGCGAGACCAGCGCCCGCCGGAGCAACGCCCTGACCTTCCTCACTGCCAGGCCAGCGACCTTCGTGTCCCCAAGAGCTACAAAGAGGCCATGGCGTCGGAGCACCGGCACCTTTGGAGCGACTCTATGCAAAGGGAGTTTTACGGCTTGTTGGAAGCAGGGACTTTTACTCCGGCGAAGTAGCAACTAGTGGAGAACGCAATTAACGCTAAGTGGGTATTCGATTGGAAGGCAGATGAATTTGGATGGCCCACTAAGGTGAAGTCGAGACTTGTAGCGAGAGGTGATATGCAGAGAGAGTACATTGACTTTGGAGAGCTGTACGCGCCTACCGTTTCTGTTTCGTGTGTTAGGATGTTGGCTGCGTTGGCGTGCGAGTTAAATCTCGACTTGTGTCATTTCGATATTGAGCAAGCTTTTGTGCGCTCGGAGTTGGAGGAAGACGTGTACATGCGTTTGCCACAGGGATGTGGAGCTCTATCTGGAATGATTGTAAAACTAGGCAAGAGTCTGTATGGCTTGAGACAGGCATCTAGGCAGTGGCATGCAATGCTGAAGAGGTGTTTAGTGGCGTTAGGTTTTGAGCAGTGCATGGCCGATGCTTGTGTGTTTCGTTTGATTGAGGATGGATGTGTTGTTTTGATTTTGGTAGTACATGTAGATGACATTTTTGCTGTGGGAGAGAGGGAGAGATGTGACAAGTTTGGCGCCGACCTTAACAAGTCCGTGCCAGTGAAGAACCTGGGAGAGTTGAGATGGTATTCTGGGTGCTTTTACGAGAGGAACAAGGAGACCGGAAGGTTGACGATTTCTCAGCAGACTTTCACGGACGAGCTAGCAGCAGAATATGGAGTAGTGGGAGGTAAGAGCGTTCCGATGTCTTCGGGGGTGAAGCTTTCTGATTTTGATGCGGATGAGGTGGCGACAGACTTTCCGTTTCGTGAGCTGGTAGGATCGTTGATGTGGCTGGCGACTCAAACTAGGCCAGACATTGCGAATGCTGTAAGGGCAGTAGCTAGGTATTGCGCATCTCCGAAGCTGGTACACTGGAATGCAGCGATGGATATTTTAGGCTATGCGAGGAGGACGAGTCACTTTGGTATTTCGTTTCAGAGGGGTACAGTAGAAGGATTCAGCTTGCAGGGGTACGCTGATGCGGACTTTGCAAGCAAGGCAGCAGACCGTAGGTCGGTATCAGGGGGAATCGTGACGTGTGGAGGAGGCGCTGTGTCTTGGTTTTCCAGAACGCAAAAGTGCGTCACGCTTTCGACGACAGAAGCAGAGTACGTCGCGCTTGGTGACATAGTGAAGGAGATTTTGTTTTTGAGGCAGATTTGGCGTTTCATGTTGCCGCAGGTCGGCATGCCGTGTATCCCCGTCTTCGAGGACAACCAGGGGGCGATTCAACTAGCGCAGAACCCCATCTCAAACTCGAACTCGAAGCACATAGATGTAAGGCACCATTTTCTCAGGGAACTGGTAGAGAGGAAGGAAATTTCGGTGATCCACGTGCCGTCTCCGTACCAGCGTGCAGATTTTCTCACGAAGAGCTTGCCGAAGGACGCTTTCGAGTCTCACCGTGATTTTGCAATGAATTTGGCATGAACATTTTATTGTTTTTCTGATTGGTTGTGTTTTGGTTTTGTTTTGTTTCTCGTTTTGTTTCCCGTTTTCTTTCATTTCTCGCGCCAAGTATTTGTTACGCGCGATGCAGTATTCATGTTCCTTTGAATTATTTTTCCCTCTTATGTTATTCTGGTCGAGTATTGATGGCATATATTCTTGGAGAGATGTATTTTGGTTGAGATATCGAGTGTTCGCGAAGTTTTCAGTGAATAACTGTTGCGAGCAGGGGGGATGTTAGATATACTCGCAGCAGTATCTGGTCGTGAGGATCCCAGGGGGATACGTGTTGGGAATTTCGTGTGTTGCAGGGTACCATCGGTGCGGTCACGGGGACCCTTTTGGCGTGGTTGGTGCGATGAAGCTTGCGTGCGTGCTGCGCTCACTTCTTCCTCTCTCTCTCCACCACCACCACCGTCTCTCTCCAATCAAGTTTCCTTCTCCCACTCTCTCTCCAACTCTCTCTCAATCTCTCTCTCTCGGCCTAACACGGCCGACTACCCAGTGCCCCAAGTAACGTCCAGAACGTGCTTGCTGCACCCCGCGTAGTTTACCTTTCAGGGTGCAATCATCAATGAGCTGTGACAGCAGTACAGCCAGGAATGTTCTGTTTCAATTCCACTAATATTCGGTTGGAGTAATCGGCACAAATGCTGTGAGCGCTGATTTGTGAAGTGAACGCACAAACAAAAAATCCAAGAATGAGCGCTGAACACCTAGAATGAATAAGCGATGGATTTTCGGCGAACAGAACGGGGGGCAACGTGGAAGGCCAAGACATTCGCATGTTCCTGGTGGTACCCTATACTGTAGACACACATAGGAAACAACAGTCGAGATCTGGATGCCTCACGAACTCTGTAGGAAGTCTGTTCTTCTTGTCCGAGGAATTTATCCAAGAAATGAGCCACCGGATGTTGCGAACATCTACATGTATGTATCTTCGAGATCCACCCGGATGCTCGTATGCATGAGATGCTCGTATGCATAAGAGTAGCTTATGGTGGTTCTTGAACAAAAAAAAAAGTTGGGCCTGTACAGCAGTAACACGGCGGTGCAGGCGCTAAATTACCTCCGCAAGAGCTGCTCTAACTGACATCCGGGGCTATGACTACTCGCTGTTCCCGACCGCTGTTCGGCCTCTCGCGGCCGGCCGACCTCCCCACGACGGAACCTTCAAACAGCATCGGCGTGGCCTTTGGGTTTGTGAGGTTCAAGTGCACGGAAGAAACCACCCTCGCGACATTTTCCTTGATACATGTCGTTGCCGAGAGTAATGAATGCTCGTACCCAGAAACTGCTGTTGGTGTTGCTTTCATGTCTCGCCAAAAAGAGCCGTTTCGGTGTCTGTGGCCAAGGATATGTAGACGGATTTGGGCGGATATGTGCGTAACGTGTTCGCTGGCAGAGGGAAGCCCCCCAACCCTGACGACAAGTGACAGTTACGCCGAAAAACGAGGGTCCCCCAAGACAGCCAAGTAATCTGGGTTTTTGTATGCCTACATGCAACAACAGCGCCAAGAGCACCACAACGGTACTTCAAGATCATACAGCAGAAGCGACCGCTAGTCACTGCTCTCTCACCCGCCGCCGCTGCCGCCTAACCCAGAGTCGCTGGCAGAGGCACCGCTAGGACGCGAAGAAGGGGCCTGGGTGCAGCTCGGGTGGTGCTTCTTGTCGTGCCACGTGTGACCTATCTTGGTGGCCTTCATCCTGGCACCAACCGCGATTCGGTTGTTGCACAGGCAGCAGCGAGTCGTGGCGAACTGATTGCCGAAGATGATGGGCCTGGGGGGCACCTTTCCTTTGCTCGGGACGCGAGACTTGGCGGCCTGCGCGCAGCCGGGGTAGCACCGTATGTTCTTCCATCCCGGTTGCTCCGGAGTAGGCGGGTTCGCCTGCACCCGCTCCTCGTCAGAAAAGCGCTGCCTGCACACCGTGCATCTCGTGAAATCCCCGTTGACCTTGAACGGCCTCCAGACCGCATGGCCGCCCGACATGTTGTACCCAAACCAACGCTGGAGAGAGACAGAAGCAGTGCGTGGGAGGGTGTTAAGGAATAATAAAAACACACACAGAAAGACTACCCATTTTGGGCACCTGGGGGGGCACAATAATTCCCACGTTTTTTTCGGCTCTTCCCTACTACCGATAACAACAAGAGACGAGAGAGACCACCAGCACACATGTACACAGCAGACAGCAGAAAACACAATACGCAGGCGTGGTGGCAATGTCTCTATTTTCGAGAGCCTGTGTGGGTCATTCGAGGGTCGACGCCGTAACTCGTGCTGTCATGCTTTGCCGGGTGCGTGTTGTCACGGAACTCATTATTATTGAGATGAGTGTATATGGTCCCGATATAGTGCCGGTATGTGCCCACAGAGGTTTTGGCCGGCACTCTACCGGACACCGGCACCGTTCAGATCACAGTGATTTCAGTCCGTGGCCTGTGTCCAACGGAAACACCGGAATACCAACCACAATAGGGGGCCCGTTTCGGGCTGTGACAACGTTTCAATCTGGTTTTGGTCGCAAATGGTTCGGTTGTCGCGCCGGCCAATCTTCCACCAATAATAACAATAATGAATACTGCGCCGGAGAAGAAGACTATAGATTGATTACTACCGACCGACCACACCGACCGTGGGATCGGGTCCTCTTCGAGGGTGTACAACGTAGGTCGAGGTCTTTAAATGGCGGCCTTTGGTGCCAATAGAATCTATTTCTACTCGGAAACATGAAACAAATATGCACCCACACAGGACCCGATTCGCAGGGTATCCGTCCATTGACTTTTACCAGAATAGGTACACCTTCGCATATATATGGCGTCGTCGGTACGAATAGGGTCCTCCTTGAATAACCCCTTCCCACACGCAGTATACCAGCCACAATTATGGAGGTAGCACCACGCCCAGTCGCAAAAACTCTAGCCTGTTTTGGTCACGGGTCAACATAAGCGAACTCAATAAAACATGAAAAAGGAGCGTCAGATCGAAGTACGTACGCAGGATACGGTGACTTCTTTGTGAACTGACCGCATACACATATTTCCTTCAAGATACTTGAGTGTAAATCAAGCCAAAGGACGGGTATTACTTCTACCTTACCTACCTTAGTTTGATACGTACAAAATCGGATGTACCATCTGGACCACGACACCAAACGGACCGCGGCGAAAACTATTTTGACGTCCTATCATCTGAACATTTATTTGCCATCCGTTCTTGGTCTTAATGTCTAAATCACCTGACGCCCAAGCTACGTATCCACGTGTTTTCCCACCGAACTTCGCAACAATCACCACGTAGTCTACAGTATGTCCAATTCCGACAACTTGAGCAAGTTCTGAGGGGACTCTATACACTCGCTGCGCGAGATCGACGAAGAAGGCGGTTCTCTGGGCGTTCTGTCTGCGCGCAGTATAAACAGGACTCAGGTCCGGACAACACAAACTTGGCAACTGCTACGAAACACATATTATCACTAATAAAAGCAATGACCACCACCCCGTAGCGATGGCTCCACCACTTGATAAGAACCTCTCACTCTGCCGAAGGCTCGTTGCCTCTGTCGGTAAACTAAACGGGACTAAATACACCAGTACCTGGTTTCGAGTTCACTTATCTACACTTGGAGGAAAGTTATTGAACCCTCCAGTTCCGGATCGCCAGGTTCTGAAGTGGTGCAGTGTCCTGTGGTACGATTCAAGTCACACTCTCTGGGCGCTGCCGCCGCCCGCCGTCCTGCAGACAATACTGCTGCTGTGCCAGCATGTGTCTACCTCTTTCTCGAAGGTTCCTCTTTGACCGGCACGGACTTCGAGCGGGAGGAGCCAACGCACCTCTCGGTGACGGCCCGGTTGCGGCAAGAGGCCGCCGCGTCGTCGTCCTCCACGTCGACGACGCCGACCTCCCGTTGCCGCTTCGAGATCCGTTCGTCGATCCGTTCCGTCGAGGTCAGCGGCCGGACGCACTCGACATCTTTGGCTTTACCCGACTTTTTCTTGCCCTTCTTCTTATCCTTCTTCTTGCCCTTCTTCTTGTCCTTCTTCGCCGCTCCCTTTCGCTGCGCTGGACGTGAGCGCGAGCCGCTCCGGGACCCTGAGTCCCGGCGTGCGTCGGCTCCTCCTCTGCGTTTCTTCTTGGACTTGCTTCGCTTCCGCGAGCGTCCTCCAGAGCGGGACTGCTTTCGAGGGTTTGTGGGAGAAGGGTCGTCGTCGTCTGCGGGTGGTGGGAACGGGACACAACATCGTATCGATTGGATTATGACCTACTGCTGTGCCGCGATATGGCTTTGGCATATGATTGCAATTCGCTGCGAGACATGCGTAGTCCCGTACAGAGGATGGATGCCGCTCTTTAGCGCTTGCTCTCTAGAATGGCCCAAGATGTTCCTACAAAGTGCCGACACAAGTACAGCAGTTACTGGTTCTCGCAGGCTTGCTTGTGCAAAAGCCAAAGAGAACAAAAGCTCAGGGAAATCCTCACGGATGATAGACTTGTTTTCATCACCCATCTCACCTTGTTCGTCTCCATCGTCGTCATCTTCCTCCTTTTCATCGCCTGAACCTATTTTGAGAGAGGGCGTCGCCGTTGTTTGTCAGGACTGGTGCCGCGACTGGATTTTCCCCTTGTGTCGCTAGCTTTGGCGCACACATCAGCAATTCGTTGTAAGACAAAATGTCATCCCGTACCAAGGATGGCGAAAAAGCAGAAGCTCTCTAGAAACCCCACCACGGCCGCACAAAGGTCAAGCAAACCACAAGTCACTGATTATCGCATGCCTGCTCGCGCAAAGGTCAAGGAGAACAAACGCTCAGAGAAACTCTCGCGGGCGATAGATTTGATCACCCATCCTACCTTGTTCATCGCTGGCGTCGTCATCATCCTCCTCCTCCTCGCCTGAACCTAACACAAAATGGTAATTTGAGATAAGGCGTCGCTTGTTGTTGGTCAATGACTCTACCAAGGTGCCGCGATAAGATTTGCTGCCGCTAGCTTTGGCACAGAATGGTAGTTCGCTGCAAGACAACGCGTAATCCCGTACCAAGGATGGATGCCGCGCTGTTAAGAAAGCAGAAGCTCTCCAGAAAACCCCAAGACGTCCTTACAAAGTGTCAGCAAAAAAAAAAAGTCACTCATTTATCATCGCCTACCTGCTCGCGCAACAAGCCAAACGCTCAGAGAAATCCCCACGGACGACATATTTGTCATGATCAACCGTCTTATCTTGTTCATCGCTGGCGTCCTCCTCCTCCTCCTCCTCCTCCTCCTCATTGCCTGAACCTAAAACAAAACGAAGATGGAGAGAAGGCGTTGCTGTCGTTAGTCAATGACTCCACCAGGTGCAGTCAGGACACATGTATGTTCAGATGGCAGCACAGCACCACAGCAGCAAAGTGGCTTGTTCCCGAGATGACCCTTTTGCTATAAGTTACGGACAAAGGGGAAACAACGCCACCGCCCAATGCTTGGCAGCAGTCCCGAGACGCGAGACGTGCAAATGTACAAAAACAGCCGCTGAGGCCGTGTAACAATATGAAGTAAACATCAAAACCGACAAATGAAAGATCAAAGTTGGCTCTGTTGCACGCCGGGAAAAAACCAAATCTCCTTTTGAAACAATAAATCTTCCGAGGACAAATCTTCGGTACAAGTTGCAGTGTTCGCTCGACTAAGCCGACAGCCACGGGTCGGGAGGTTGTTAGATTATGTTGAAGTAGAATGTTGCCTGCCGTCTAACGTCTTGCATGAAAAATCGGGTCCGCATTCTTCGCAAACAGGGCCGAGGGGCGAGTCCCACTTGGGGTCGTCGGGGTCGGCGTATATTGTCACGCCGCAGGCCTCGCACAATGACTCTTCCTCCCCCTCTTCAAAATCGTGCCAGTCTTTGCACTCGAACGGGTCGTAGTCCCGACCGAGGTCGAAGATCCTGTACATGCAAGCAGCCACCGGATCCATATCGTCATGAGCTACCAGGCACAACGTAAAATCTGCAAAGATACGCCACACTTTAGGCCGACACGAGCGCATACCGTGGATGGTGGGAAAAAATTACTGCTGTACCACCCCTCCTGGACCGATTTTCAAAGCTCGATTACTCCACGACGAAGAGGACGCACAAATCAAGTGACTCGTTTTCCGAAAGCTCTCGGGGAGACGGTTCCAACCTCGACATTTTCGACGCCGCCGCTATTTCTGCTTTGGAGGTTTGAAAATCGGTCGGGGTGTGTGTGGTATCTTGTGTCACGCAGTACTGCTGTACATACGTCCAGATTGGTGGCCAAAGAGAGAGAACCTGCAGGCTACACAGAAGGTGGTCATTATTAGAAAGTAAACATTATGATTTGATTTTGGCCACCACGATGCCACGACTACATGTGCCAGTAGGCCGTCTACATGAACTGGCTTATACGCAATAACCAGTGCCCGCTGCGCATACAGCACAGCTCTTGCTCGTGTTTTCCCACCGCACTTCGCAGATCATCAAGTAAAAACCTACAGTAACACATTTCCGAATCTAAATACTAGTTCGCCCTGGCAAGTAGGTTGAGGGGCTCAGCGAGATCGACAAAGAGGCAGTTCGCACCAACGCCAATGGGCGCCCTGTCTGCTCGCAGTTTAAACAGGACTCAGTTCCGGACAACACAGCATTGGCAGCAGTAGTAGTTTTGCCATCTGCTGTTTCGAAACATATCCCCTCAAGTTTTCGCCCACCGCAAGGAACCCCCCCCACCCCCCGCCCCGCATAGACGGAACCACCACCCGATAAGAACCTCTCACATTGCCGGAGGCTCGCTCCTCGTTGCCTCTGTTGGTAAACAAAACGGGACCAAATACACCGGTACACCAGGTTATACGTGTGGGGCGGAGTTCAACTTTACTTCTGCGAAATGATCGAACCCTCCCAATTCTTGAGTCACTAGGTTCTCAAGTGGTGGAGCGTCCGGTGCTACGATTCAAGCCAATACATTCTGGGCACCGCCGCCCCCCGCCCCCCGGCAGACACACTGCTACAGTTAGCGCCCGCAAGTAAGAAACGCTTATTTCAGGTCCAACCTCGAATTCTTTTTGTGGGCCATAAACCTCTTCAGTACGGCTGCCGCCCTCCCTTGACCTTGCAGGTTTTGTTGGCGTCGCAACGCTTGCAGCAGGTACCCCGCCAGTGTAGGCGCTGGAAGGGCTAGCCACCGCTACCGCCGAGTAGTGCGGTCGAGGTCGTGAGGGCGAGGAACACGGGCCACTGTCCTGGTCGTTGTTGTCGTTGTTGGCAGGGGCGCTGTTGTTGCTGGCAGTGGTGGCGGTGGTCTCTCTCTCGGTGGATGGTTGGCTGGCGGAGCGAGAACGCTTCGCAGGAGGTGCAGAGGAGGAGGAATCACCTGATGCTGCACTCGGCAAGCGGGTGCGGGATAGGGATGTCGGGAAGACGTCACACCCGCCGGAGATAAGAACATGGCACACATCAGTGAACGCACGACGAAACAGGCATGCGAGAGAAGCAGAATTGAGAAGGGGGGGGCGAAACGGGGGAGGGGGTTTCCATTCACACGTGTTTTGCGCCCATACAGAACCGTCCGTTTACTTTCGTACGGTCTGGAAGCAGCATGGACATTACTTCGTTCAGCAGAAGGTTGTATCGTTTGCTACGCCTCCCACTGCTGCTAAGGCAATCCACGTTTGTATGCGCGTGGTGGATCTAGGCCCTCTCTACCCTCATCAGGCGTTCCACGTTCCAACTGCAGAAGGATTCCGGGCAATCGGTTTCAATCCAGCTGTGGTGTGAAGTGTTGTTGGTGTGCCTCTATAATTGGACACACATTATGTTCTAGAGCTGATCACCACGCAGGTGATAGGAAGTGTGACAATAGTGATGATTCTCGTGTTGAACAATGAGTTGAGATCGGCAAGACCGTAGGGCACCTACTGTAGTAGTGTTTACAGCGGGAAATCAAAAGGGATTCAAAGAAGGCATATCAGGCGTTCCATGTGCACTCCTCGGCGTTTTGGGCATCACTTGAGCATGGTCTACGATTCGTTGCTTAAGCCTAGGCTGTTTGAGGAGCACCAGAGACAAACGAAGGCCGTGACCCGAATCGGCTGAGGAGAGCGCAACTAAATAGGTATGGGCTCACACAATACAGAGTCGAATCATCCGCCTCCGCTGCAACTCTAGCTTCTGCTTTCTCCTATTAATAGTGGCGAACGAAGCCACGTGAAGTCTGTACCCTTCCTTCCAAGTGGGGCTCTAGACTGACCTCAGCATTCCCGTGAAAACACGCAAGATATGGCAAGGGCTGTCCCGGTGCATGGGGGGGGGGGGGGGGGGGGGGGGGGACCCAAATCGGGGGGGGCGGAATCCTTTTGACCTTTGACCCCCCCCCCCAAAAAAACGGGGGGGGGGACCCCGGGGTTTCCCCGGGACAGGGGTTTCCAATACCCAAGGCGAAAGGCCCGGGGGGATTTTGGGGGGCCCCAAAAGGGGGGGCCGCCCCCCCCCAAGGGGGGTTGGGTTTTTTGGGTTTATTTCTTGGGGA